CCTGGTTGGTGTCTCAGAGGGATGCATCAGATAGCTGCAGGGCGAGGGGGCTCCAGTGGTGTCCGACTAGAAGGTCAGCCATTCCGTGATGGCCATTTCCTGTGGTCCGTTCCTGGAAACTGTCCTGCTCTGTCAATCGGGGCACATCCCCTCTGCCTAGAACCCTCCATGGCTCCCACCTTCCTCAGACTAAAAGCCTGAGCCCTCCCCATGGCCCACAAGGCCTTGCACGTTCGGCCTGGTCCCCTCCCTATCCTCACCTCCGCCCACTCTCCCCCTCGAGGTCCCTCACACACCCCAGAAGGACCCCCTCCTTGGGTTTCTGCTCCAGCATCACCTCTGAGAGAGGACTTTTCCAAAGCAGCGCTCACCACCCGACACTGGTTGCTCGTGCATTTGCTGCCAGTGTGGCCCCTGCTAGAATGTCAGTCCCTCCAAGAGCAGGCTGGCATCCCTCACTGCTGTGTCCCCAGCAGCTGCCGCCCAGCCTGCCACAGAGCAGCCTGACTCGGGAGGGGTTTGTTGAACGCGTGAGTGAAAAATGAACAAACACCAGACAGCATGTCAGTTCTGGGCTGATAGGACGGTGTCTGTCTCACCCACGGCCCTAATCCCAGATGCAGAGCTTGGTGTGTAGTAGGTGCTCAGTGAGCACTTGTCACGTGACGCGCACAAACAGAAGGAAGCAGGCGGGGGTGCCGGGTGGCCTGACTTCCGCCCTCTGCCCACCCAGGTTCCGGATGAAATGTCACCTCTGTGTCAACTACATCGAGATGCAGACGGACCCCGCCAACTGTGACTACGTGATCGTGAGCGGCGCCCAGCGCAAGGAGGAGCGCTGGGACATGGTGGATAATGAGCAGGTGCTGACGACAGGTGAGCACGGGGCGTGGGCCCCAAGGCCAGCCGTGAGGCCGAGCGGGAGCCTGAAGGCCTTGCCACCTTCTGGCTATCACAGAGCACGAGAAGAAGCAGAAGCTGGAGACGGACGCCATGTTCCGCCTGGAGCACGGTGAGGCTGACCGGAGCACACTCAAGAAGGCCCTCCCCACCCTGAGCCACATCCAGGAGGCCCAGAGCGCCTGGAAGGATGACTTTGCACTCAACAGCATGCTGCGGAAGAGGTTCCGGGTGAGTGGGGGCGCCTGCCTGCGGTCGGGACCACGAGGGAGCGGGCGTCGCTGACATCGGAAGGGGGAAAATGCAGGGGCAGCCGTCGCCATACCACGTCCTAGCTCTGAGCCACGTCCCTACCTCAGGGCACCCACGGGGAGCCCCAGCTTGCCACGCACTTACCTGCTGCTCAGCTCATAACACACATTTCATGGATCCACTCATCTATCCCAAAACGAAGTCCATAGATCGGCAGCCCACCCCTACATAGATCGGCAGCCCACCCCTACATAATTGCCAAAATCATCTCTGCAGTGCCCTGTCGTTAAAAAAAAAAAAAAATTTTTTTTCTTTCAAGGGAAAGTCACCTACAATGAAATGTAATCGTGCACGTTTCAGTATACGAATGTTTGGCCAAGACCCCTGCCCTGGCATGGAGAGTCACCAAGGGTACAGGGGCAAATGCCGACCCCTGTCCCCAGGGACACAGTCCTGGCTCGAGGACACCCCAGGGCCCTGCTGTCAGTGACCACAATGGCTTCTGAAGTTGTACCAAAGATACTGGGCGGTGCCACGTCACAGGGAGTCAGGGCCCAGGGTCAGATGAGTGTACCATGAACGGATTTTTCACCCTCTCAGGCATCTGGCAGGGCACCAGAAGATCCTGCAGGACGTGAGAACCTTCCCTCTTCCCTCACTCTTTGGGGCGCCTTGTGCCCCCCAGGCAGGCAGGAGCTTCCCCAGCAACCGCCATGGAGCGCAGGCTGTCACCATCCTACAGCTCCTGTCCCTTCCTGTTTCCTTTGCTGATTGTTCTGTGGTCATTATTAAGAGTAAAACGGCTAGTTTTCTTACTAATTATTTGTTATCAAAAACATACACTTCCAGCCGGTCCTGTGCCCTGAGCTATGTGTCCCCTGCCTTCTGGGTGTCTCCCCATGAGGTGTCTAAGGACCCTCAAACATACAAGCCGCCATCTGGCCCTAAGCCACCCACCTGCATCTTCCCCTTGTCGGCAATGGAGGCATCTCTGTCCTTCTAGGGGCTTAGCCCCCAAAACCTGGAGTTGACCTTGACTCCCCCTTCACCCCTGTCTCTTGTTGGCAAATTTTTCAGGGTCTGACCACTCCCACAGCTCCCATCATCTCCTGCGTGGACCAGCACAGTCTCTCAGCCCTGGTCTCCAGGCGCTCACCCCCACACCCCACCCCCACACACAGTCTGTTCCCCACATGGCCACCAGGAGGCACCTGTGAATACCTGAGTCATTTCACATCTCTGCTTAGAATCCTCCCTGACTCCCACTTAAAATAGAAGCCACTGCCCTCCGCACGGCCCACAGCCTGCATGGTCTCACCTCCTCCCTCCCGACTGTTTCCACCTTCTCCTCAATCACGTTATTCCAGCCACACTGGCCTCCTCGCTGTTCCTCAGCCACCCGAAGCACGCCTCTGCTTCTGGGTGTTTGCACAGGCTGTTCCTTCTACCTTGGAACACTTTTCCACCAGATACGCACTTAACTCCTTCATTCAGACATCTTTTCTCAAATGTGACTTTCTCGGGGAGACCTTGCCTGACCCTTCCCGCCATCCTGCACCGCCATTTACGGTTGAACCCCTCGCTCCCTACCACCTTCCCGGCATTCTTTTTCTCCTCGCCACTTTGTCTCTCTCACCCTCTAGAATGTCAGCCACGGGAGGGCAAGGGTTTGTGTCTGCTCACTGCTGCATCCCCAGTGCCTAGAACAAGGCCTGGTACAAGCTGGCCGTTCTGTGAATATTCATGGGACGGATGAGCAGAGGACTGAACAGTGCGCCTATTAATGATGCTTGCATCTTGCACTTGCTGAGTGACTTCTGCATCCTGGGCCCTGTGGGAGGCCCTTTCCTCGAACGAGCTTGAAGAAGAGGAAGCTGAGCGGAGGGACACAGCCCAGGTCAGCGGGCAAGGAAGAGGCAGGTCTTTGACACCCACCATACCTTTCCCCCACCCCGTCCCCCACCACACAGGAAAAGAAAAAAGCCATGCAGGAAGAAGAAGAGAGGGACCAGGCGCTGCAGGCTAAGGCGAGCCTGGCCATCCCACTGGTGCCTGAGACAGAGGACGACCGCAGGCTGGCCGCCCTGCTCAAGTTCCACACCCTGGACTGTGCGTGGGGAGCCAGCAGGCGGGGGGGGGGGGGGGGGGGGGGGGGGACTGGGCAGGCAGAGATGGGGGTCCCCGGCCACGAGTGGGCTGTGGGCAGGCCAAGGCAGGGGGCAGCTTTGGACCTCCTTCCCTCTCTTCCCTCCCTTCCCTCCCAACCCTCCCAACCCCCAGCCTACGAGGACAAGCAGAAACTCAAGCGGACAGAGATCATCAGCCGCTCCTGGTTCCCCTCGGCCCCGGGACCCGCCACCAGCAGCAGCAAAGCTGGCAGCGTCCTGAAGAAGCTGGCCCAGAACCGCAGATCAGCACCGGCCTGCTCCGCCATCACCGTGGGAGACCTGGGCATCGTGCGACGGCGGTCCCGGGAGGTCTCAGAGAGCCCCCAGCACGCAGCAGAGACCCCCAAGTCTGGGGAAACATGGGTGCCAGAGGGGAACACCCAGGATGGGCCCACATGCCCCCAAGACTGCTCTCCGGAGACAGCCGAGACCCTCAAGAGCAGGGGACCTCGGGGGCAGGAAGGGACTTGTCGGGACAGGCCCCGGTCCCCGCCAGGCTCCTCTCCGGAGGCAGCCACCCCCCAGGACACGCCACACCCGGGCACCCTCAGCTCCTCTCTCGTGGCTGATTACTCCGACTCCGAGAGCGAGTGAGCCGTTCTGGGAACCGGACCTGCTCCAGAGGCTGCGGCGGGCCCAGGAGGCCACTCAGACTGCAGCCCTGCTTGCCCACCAGCCCTTGGAGAGCTCAGACGCTGCCCCTCCCCAGACCTCGCCTTCCCGCGGCGGGGAAGATATTTATTTGGTCCTGGAGAGGGTGTTTGTGCCTTGTGGGACAACATCCCAACATTAAAGCCCTGCTTCTTTGTCCCTGCCTCAGGTTGCTAGATGGGCCCAGGGGCTGTCTCTCCCACCCCCACCCAACTGAGCTTCGGGGACCCTCATCAGCCAGTGTGATGCTGCTGCCGCACCTGTGGCCCCAGCCATGATCCCCACCCGGCCTGATGAGGGTTTCAAGGTGGAGGCTCAGGTTGGTCTGCAGTCCAAGCCGACTTCCCAGAGAAGGCAGCACAGGCTGAGGGCGAAGGGTGGAAAGGGAACCAGGCTGCAGGAACCCCACAGGGAAGGCGGTGGAGGGGGGTGCTGGGAACATAGGTGGTGCCTGAAGCGCCTGGGCCTGGGGTACGCAAGTGTGGGGGTTTTCGTTATCCCCAGCCTGCAGGGATGCCTTGGAAGGTCGTGAACGAGCTCCCCTGCCCCTTCCCTACCATGATGCATCTTTTGAAGGGAACTGGCAAACTGAGCAGAAAAGGGCTCAGAAACAGCAGGGCATCCACCCAGAGATGCTGCCTGCCCCCTCCCCCTAAACCGTGGACAAGGAAGATCATTTAACAAGCATTGGTGGGGTGTTTGCAGTGTGCCAGGCACTAACCTAGGCCCTGGGGATACAGTGGTGAACCAGACACACGGCCCTCTTGGGGCTGAGGTTCTGGCCAACTTCTTATTTGTGCCTGTCCCTCAGGGGAGATGGTAGCCCCAGTGGCTGTCCCCAGCCCACCGGCTTTTGCTCCCTGCCGGGATGGGAAGGTTTCGGGGCAAGAGTTAGACCCCTCAGTCCTTGGAATCCCCCAATTCGGGCCTTTCTCTCCTTGAGACCACCTTCTGCACTCGCTCTGGCCAAAGTCAGGCGCCTAAGGGTGACTTGGGGGATCACGCTATGAGGCCCTAATTCTCTCCGGCTAAACACAAGGCCTAGAATCCAGTAGTTGCTCCATAAACGGTGCCATCGGTGGTTTCCAGGAGGCGGCTAACTGCCCAGACTAACCGGGAAAAGTAAGGTGGGATTAGTCGCGGGGTCCTGCGGGTTTGCTGTGCGCATGCGCCTCCTTGGGGGCGGGAGCGCGCCGGTCCCGCCCCCTCCTCGCGTTCCGGGCCAGTCCAGCGTGCTCGGGTCGCCCCCACTGCTTCCTGAGTGGCTGTGAGCGAGGCGGTGACACCATGTCCCTGGAGGCGATCCGCTACTCTCGGGGCTCGCTAGAGATCCTCGACCAGCTGGTCCTGCCCCAGCACAGTCGCTACGAGGCAGTGGGCTCGGTGCGCCAGGCCTGGGAGGCTATCCGCGCCATGAAGGTGGGGCCACGCGGCGGAGCGGCGGGGCCGGGGGGGGGGGGGGGGAGCCCCCGCCTGACCCCAGGATTCCCCCCTCCAGGTGCGCGGCGCCCCGGCCATCGCGCTCGTGGGCTGCCTCAGCCTCGCCGTGGAGCTGCAGGCGGGCGCGGGGGGACCGGGACTCGCCGCGCTGGTGGCCTTCGTGCGCGACGCGCTGAGCTTCCTGGTCACCGCCCGGCCCACCGCTGTCAACATGGCCCGCGCGGCTCGCCACCTGGCCGAGACCGCAGCCCTGGAGGCTGAGCGCGAGGGCGCCACGGAGGAGGCGGTCCGAGAGAGGTAGGGGGACCTTGTGCCAGGCACTGCTCCACGTGGAGGCTATTAACTCATTTTTTCGCAGAGCGACCCGTTTTACATATAGGGAAACTGAGGCAGGCACGGCACATCAGTCCAAGGCCACACAAGCAGGACTAAGAGCCCGCCCGGACAGCTGGGTCCCAAGGTTCTGGCACTCAGTCCCTTGACTCTCCCTCCCCAGAACACGCCCAGCCCCAACTGTCTTAGAGGTCCTTTTCCGAGCCACTGCATTCTCCTGGTTTTTGCTTTTGAGGAATTTTGTTTCCTGTCCTGATCCCCTCCCTGCCCTTTTGTTTTTCCACTCTCCTCTGCTGCAGCTCTGTGGTTACCTTCCGGGTTCCTTGACCCCACCAAGCTTACTCCTGTCTCAGGCCCTTGGCATATGCTATCTCTGCAGGCGGCTATCCACAGAGCTAACTCTCCATCAGGTTTCAAATTTCTGCCTTTCCCACCGCCTCACATAACACAGTTCATCTCCTGTGCTCTGTCCCCCGATTCGGCTGCCTTCTCCTTCACTTCATTAACCGCTCACCACCTGCTTCCCCCACCCTACTGTGAGCTCCACAGGGGCAGAGATTGTTGTCCTATTCATTGCTCTGCACTCCCACACACACGAGGTAAACGTGTTGTGTGAGCAAATGGCGTGACAGGTGACAATAACAGAAGCGTGTCCGCCCCCAAAGCCTGCAGAGGCTTTGAGCAAGAGGGCTGCTGCCCAGGAGTGTTGGCAAGGGAAGAGGGGCTAGCCTGGGCACGAAGGCCTGGTGGCTGGTGCTGAGAGCCTCTTGTCGGCCCCAGAGTGATACGCTGCGCTGAGGACATGCTGGAGAAAGACCTCAAGGACAATCGGAGCATCGGGGACCTAGGAGCCCGCCACCTCCTGGAGCGGGCAGCTCCTGGGGGCGGCAAGGTGACCGTGCTGACCCACTGTAACACTGGTGCACTGGCCACTGCTGGCTATGGCACAGCTCTGGGTGAGTGGGCATCCATGGGAATGGGGAAGGGGCCTTTTTGGATGCTAGAGAAAGAAACCCTAACCACTTTACCCACCAAAAAGATGTGAATTTATTCTTGTACACAAGTGTTTAGGGTGTTATCTTTAGGTATGGCTGGATCCGGGGGTCAAATAGTGGCATCAGGAGCCATCTGTCCCTGTTCCTAAATTCTTCCCTCCTTGGCAGCATCATTCTCTGCTCCACAGGTCAGCAGGGAGGCTGCTAGGGTTCAGATCATGAAGAGCCAAGTCTCTAAGCTGACAGTGCCAGAAAAGGCTCCTTGTATTTCAGGGGCTTTAATGGGGTCACTTGCTTATCCAGGATCAATCAGTGGGTCCAGCCCAACCCGTGTGCCTAGAGAATGCGCAGGATGCAAACTCCAAGAGGACTGAGAAGGGAGGGGCTCCCCAAAAGAAAGCTTGGGATAGCTCTGACCAAGAGATTTGACTACCTGCCTGGGCCCTGCCTTTGTGCCTGGGGACTGAGGCCTTGATGGCAAGACACCGATTTATTCACTAAACAAACATTGTTTAAGAACTAGAGTGCCCCACCATTCCTGCATACGTGCATTCCTTTATCTACTCAGCACTTACTAAGCACCTACTGTGTGCCAGGCACAGTTCTGGACACCGGGGACCCACCACTGAACACAGTAGACAAAATCTCTGCCCCGAAGATTAGGAAAGTAGGAGAAACAAACACAACCAATCAATAAATAATGTGTGCTGTGTTCAAAGGTGGTAAGTACTAAAGAGAAAGCCAGGAAGGGGTCGGAGGTGTGGGGTTTGCTGGGGGAGACTGAGGGATCAGGGAAGGCCTCACCGAGAAGATGTTCTGAGGACCCATGTACCCGGCAGAGGGGACAGCCACTGCAAGGGCCTGGGGATGGGACTGTGCCTAGTGAGCCTTTGGTGAGCTGTGCTTCTATTTTTTTTTTAATATTTTATTTATTTGGGGGTGCCTGGGTGGCTCAGTCATTAAGAGTCTGCCTTCGGCTCAGGTCATGATCCCAGGGTCCTGGGATCGAGCTCCGCATTGGGCTCCCTGCTCAGCAGGAAGCCTGCTTCTCCCTCTCCCACTCCCCCTGCTTATGTTCCCTCTCTCTCTCTCTCTCTGTCAAATAAATAAATAAAAATCTCTAATATTTGTTTGAGAGAGAGAGAGAGAGCAGTGGGGGAGAGGGAGAGAGAATCCCAAGCATGCTCCACGCTCAGCACAGAGCCCGATGGAGGGCTCGATCCCACAACCCTGAGATCACAACCTGAGCTGAAATCAAGGGACGGACATTCAACCAACTGAGCCGCCCAGGTGCCCCTGAGCTGTGCTTCTCAACAACGAGCCACCCTGCCTGTGTGTCACCTTCCGTCTCATCCTGACATCCTGGTGGGCCGGGCCCCACAGGTGTGATCCGCTCACTGCACACCCTGGGCCGTCTGGATCATGCCTTCTGCACGGAGACCCGACCCTACAACCAGGGAGCCCGGCTGACTGCCTTCGAGCTGGTGTACGAGCAGATCCCTGCCACTCTCATCGCAGACAGCATGGCAGCAGCTGCCATGGCCCACCAGGGCGTGTCAGGTGTGTGGGCGCGGCGCCGGGGGGTGGGGCTCCGGGCGTCCAGGGCCAGGTTATGACCCCAGCATCTTGCTCCCCAGCTGTCGTCGTGGGAGCCGACCGCGTGGTTGCCAACGGTGACACGGCCAACAAGGTGGGAACCTACCAGCTGGCCATCGCCGCCAAGCACCACGGCATCCCCTTCTATGTGGCTGCCCCCAGCTCCTCGTGTGACCTCCGTCTGGAGACGGGCAGGGAGATCGTCATCGAGGAGCGCCCAGGGCAGGAACTGACCGACGTCAACGGGGTCAGGATTGCAGCCCCCGGTAAGCTCTCCCCTTAGAGGGATCACCACAGTGCCTGGGCACCCCCCTTTAGGCACCGTGGCCCCTTCACGGGGCTGGTGGATTTAGGGTAGAATCAGCCTTCTGGGGCATAAGCAGCTTTTTCCAGCCATTTCTTGGAACAGAAGCACCTTGAAGGTCAGATTCAAGGTCAGAGTGTACAACTAATGAGTTAGGAGACTTAAGGCAAGTTGTCCTGCTATTCTCCGTCTGGGTTTCCTCCGTTGAAGAAGAAATGAGAATACTGCCTTGCGTAGTGCCTATGGAGAGACACTGATGTTCTCGCCTTCCTCACGCCACCTGGCTGCCATGCGCAAGATGCCTGCATTCTTGCATCCCCCAGGGCCCCAGTGTTCACATCTGTAAGATGAGCGCTTACTACGGCCCAGCTTACAAACCCCAGGGTTGTCAGTGAATGCACCCACGTGATGTGGAGGACAGTGCCTGACCCTTGCTTAGCGCTCATTAGATGGTAACAATTATGGTTGAAATCTTTTATGAAAAGGACCCAGTTAAGATCCCTAAGCACCGAAAATACTGTGGGGCTGCTACCTCAGAGTCCCAAGTATGGAGCTAAGGCAAAAATCACACTGTACAGCTAAGCAGAGGGAAGTCCCAACATTCTGTTGTTTTGTACTCCAATTCGTTACAGCATTTTAAAAATAGATATATTAATTCTATAAATTTTTTTCCTTCATTTTGTTTTTGGTGCCCCTGCTTTCCGGGAGGCATAATGAGCACTGGCCAAAATCCCTGTGAGCAGAGAAAACAGAGGCCACCAGTTTGCAGCCTCTCGTGTAAAAGGTTATTACTCTCAGCAAATATTTTTGAGTACCTGGCCGATTCTCGATGCTGTGCTAGGGTGCCAGGGACACAGGAGTGAAAAAGATGTAAACGCCCCTGCACTCATGGAGCTGACAATCCAGTGGGAGAGATAGACAACAAACAAGATAAATACAAAACCACAGTGTATGTTAGAAGCGGGTGTGAGCGCAGGAGAAATAAACAAGGCAAGGACGGGCATGGGAAGTGTCAGTTGCGGGAGATTTAGACACAGTGATTGGAGAAATCCTCGCCGGGAAGGTGACATGTGAGCAAAGACCTGAAGGAAATGAAACCGTGAGTCACGTGACTACTGGAGGCAGAGGGGACTGCCCGTGCAAAGGCTCTGAGGTGGGTTCTTAGAACTTCTTACAGAGACCCTTGGAGCCGGCAAAAGTGGGGTAAGATGTCTATAAGACTTCTTTTTTTTTTAAAGATTTTTTAAATTTCTTTGACAGAGCGAGAGCAGGAACACAAGCAGGGGGCGTGGCAGGGAGGCTGATGTGGGGCTCCATCCCAGGACCCTGGGATCATGACCTGAGCCGAAGGCAGACGCTGAACGACTGAGCCACCCAGGCGCCCCGTCTATAAGACTTCTAAGACTTCTTGGACAATGACAGCCCAGGAATGGGGGGTGGGGGTCTAAACTAGTTACTGGGTGCTAAAGCCCCAGGTAATGCCTTCATGCACTTACAGAGTGAGCATCCCCAGATTGTCAAGGATTCCCCAACTCATGAACCACCGTGGGGGAGACAGGTGACAAGAGCTTGAGAACTTGCACAGAGCTAAATACCTGCTCTTGCCTCCCCTTTCTCTCCTGCAGGCATTGGGGTTTGGAATCCTGCCTTTGATGTCACCCCCCATGAGCTCATCACTGGCGGCATCATCACAGAGCTGGGGGTCTTTGCCCCTGAGGAGCTCCGGGCAGCCCTAAACGCCACCGTCTCCTGAGGGTAGGGACCCCTAGATGGACCCCAGAAGTAACCAACCTGACTCTCCATAGTCTGCCCCCATTCCCTTAGGTTTTATAATAAACCTCTTGAATGGCTTGCCCCCAAATTGATCTTCTTCCCCAACCACCCTTCTTCCTAGAGTAGGGAGAGCACACAGGGCCTTTGCATGGCTCTTAAGAGCCCTATAACTGGAGCCAGTCTGCCCAAGTTCAAAACCCAGCTCAGCCCCTTTCTCTACAGTGTGGTCTTGGCCAAGTCACTTCCCCTTTCCATGCTTTGGTGTTCTCATTTATAAAATGGGGACGATACTAGCACTGCCCTCGTAGGTTGCTTCAGGGCTAGAACTAGGGCAGTGCCTGCGGTACAGAATTGTAGAGGGGACACCGAAGAGCTCAGTAATCAAGATAAATAAATAATAGCTTCCTGAATTATTTTTTATTTTTTCTAGAGAGAATGAGAGCGTGAGCTGGGGGTCGGAGCAGAGAGAGAGAGAGAGAGAGAGAGAGAGAGAGAATCCCAAGCAGAATCCATGCTCAGCATGGAGCCCGACACGGGCCTCAGTCCCACAACCCTGAGATCATGACCTGAGCTGAAATCAAGAGTCGGACATTTAACCAACTGAGCCACCCAGGCACCTCCGATTTTTTTTTAGAAGATTTTATTTATTTATTTGAGAGAGAGAGAGAATGAGAGAGAGAGAGCACGAGAGGGAAGAGGGTCAGAGGGAGAAGCAGACTCCCCGCTGAGCAGGGAGCCCGATGTGGGACTCGATCCTGCGACTCCGGGATCATGACCTGAGCCGAAGGCAGTCGCTTAACCAACTGAGCCACCCAGGCGCCGATTTTTTTAAGTAATCTCTACACCCAAAAATGTGGCTCAAACTCACAACCCCAAGATCAAGAGTCACATGCTCCACTGACTGAGGCAGGCAGCACCCCTAAAATTCTTTTTTTTTTTTTTAAGATTTTATTTATTCGAGAGAGTGAGAGATAACATGAGGGGGAGAGGGTCAGAGGGAGAAGCAGACTACCTGCTGAGCAGGGAGCCCGATGTGGGACTCGATCCTGGGACTCCGGGATCATGACCTGAGCCGAAGGCAGTCGCCCAACCAACTGAGCCACCCAGGCGCCCTAAAATTTTATTTTTAAATGTTGAGAATGCTATTTATATTGATTACTGAATTTTAGGCACCCTTAGAGTTTGCACCATTGAGTGCCTCAGTCACCTCACCCTAGTCCTAGACCAAATTTTATGTACAAAGGGCATAAAACTGTTTTACAAAACAAATGAGTCCTCAGTAAATGTTATCTTACCATTATAACCTTTACTTGGAAGTTTTTGCGAAGGTTTGCGTACGATCCGCTCCTCTGGGCGTCTGTCTCTTTAATGCTTTGCCACGTTGTGTCCCGTGAGCCTTTGCGCCCTGCGGCCCCGCTGTATCCCGTCGTGCCTTGCGCTTTCCGGCTGCGATTGCTTACAACCCCGCCTTTTCCGGCGCATGCCAGATCATGGCGCAGGGGCAGCGCAAGTTCCAGGCGCGGAAGCCGGGGAAGAGCAAAGCAGCGGCAGCGGCCTCAGAGCGGAACCGGGGCCCGAGGAAGGGTGGTGAGGAGCTGTCAGGGTTCTGGGGGGCGAGGAGGGCCTGGAGCTCCCCGGCCTCATGCTAGCGCGTCTCTTCCCAGGTCGTGTGATCGCCCCCAAGAAGTCGCGCATCGTGCAGCAGCGAAAGCTCAAGAAGGTGAGTGTGGGCGTGCGAGCGGCGAGGGAAGGAGCCTGGAGGCCCGTGAGGGGCGGAGGATGGTGCCTGGACAACTCAGCTCTCTGAGTCTGTTTCGACCCCTGTGCCATGAGAAACGGGACATCACATACCACACTCAGCGGGCCTCGAAGGAGCAAGGCCTGACGCGCAGAAAGCGTGAAACGCACGTTAGCTGCTCTCGCTGTTACCGTTCTTTAATAGAAGTGGGGAGGGGAGGTGGCGTGGCAAAGTAGAAACCCCAGCTTTGCAGAAAGGCAGTGCTGCGTGCGGTCGCAGCTCCAACAGCTAGTATTTCTTCACCCTGAGTCTTCTAACTTGTAAAATGGTCATAGTAATAGCACCTTTCTCCCAGAGTTGTAGGGATTGCTTCCAACCCCGCCTTTTCCGGCGCGTGCCAGATCATGGCGCAGGGGCAGCGCAAGTTCCCGGCGCACAATACGATGCCATGGGGCTTGTAAAGCGCCGAGAACAGCACAGGACACAAGTGAACGTTAGCTGCGTTGGTTGTCATTTTTGTGGTTGTGTTTAAATGTAGCTTCTTTATATAGGTGGGTGGGGTGAGTTTACAAAGAAGTTTAATTTGAAACTGGTTTTACTGGAGTCAGATTTGAGTTCCAATTGTACTCCACATTAACTAATGTGTAATCTTGAGCAAATCGTTTCGTTTCTCAAACTCAGCATATCCAAAACCAAGCTTCTGATCCTCCCCTCTGCCTCCCAGACCTGACCCTGCCACAGTCTTGATTCAGCAAGACTCTGTCCTTCCAGATACTTGGGATCATCTTTGATTCCCCTCTTCTCTCATATCTGGGTCAGATCCCATTCTTTTTGCTTTTAGTATTAATCTAGAATCCACCCATTTCCCCCCTACCTGGTCCCATCCCATCAGCCACCCCCTGGACCAGTGCAGGGACATCCTCCTGGATCGCCTGCCTCCTCTCATAGCCACCAGAGGGCGCCAGTGAGCACCCAAGTCTGGTCTTCTGCTCAGAGCCTTCAGTGTCTCCCACCCTACTTCAAGAAAAGCCCACATCCTCTCCATGGCCTGCAGGGCCCTGCATGATCTGCCCCTGTCACCTCCCTGCCCTCCTCCTACTCTCCCCCTTGCTCACTGGCCCCTTAACTGTTCTTATCCCACCTCAGCACTTCACTGGCTGTTTCCTCTGCCCAGATTCTTCTCCCAGAAATCCACACAGCTTCCTTTTTCAGAGTCTAGTCGGACTGCAGGTGGTGCTTCTGAGCAGCTGTCTCCGATAACACGCATCCCTCACTCGTCCCATGTTCTTTCTTGGATAGCAGCGCTTACCTTCACCTTAACCTAGTGGGTCGTGGGCATGTATGTCGTCTCCATACGCACGGGTATGGCTGAGTGCCAGCTCCCAGAGGGCAGAGATTTTTCTGTGTTTTGTTTGCTGTTGTGTCCCCTGCACCCAGGTATGTGACAGTCATGGTGGTCATGGTCCTTGGAACTCAGGCAGGACAGGGCAGTTTGGGAAATATGATTAAACTACCAGTTTGGGGGCGCCTGGGTGGCTCAGTTGGTTAAGCGACTGCCTTTGGCTCAGGTCATGATCCTGGAGTCCCGGGATCGAGTCCTGCATCGGGCTCCCTGCTCAGCGGGGAGTCTGCTTCTCCCTCTGACCCTCTTCCCTCTCATGCTGTCTATCTCTCATTCTCTCTCAAATAAATAAATAAAAATCTTTTTAAAAAATAAAATAAAAATAAACTACCAGTTTGGGACCCAAACCCCTGTGCCTTTGCTTGCTCACGTCTCTGTGTCTCGGAGCTCCAGTTCCCCCATCTGCCAGGCGGAAATGACATGGGCCAGGAAGGGACTGCTGCCTGGAAGCTGAGACCAAGCGCTCTGGGCATGCAGGGTTCCAGTCTCCCATCCTTCACCTGTTTGGGGAAGCCTGGACAAGTGCCTCCTCACTGCAGGAACCTGTTTCTTCATCTGTAAAATGGAGATGAGTAGAGGTGTAAAAGCTGAGGTCCAGAGATGAGAACAGGATTTTTTGTGTGTAACACCCCGAAGGGTGCAGGACAAGACTTAAACCCCAGACCCTCAGGTGCTGTTTCAGGGGGAGTTGCTCATCCAGCCCCCTGTGCATGCTCGCCAGAGAGAGGGCATTGGGTCAGGCGCTCCCCTCCCTCCACCTCAGGTTCGAGTCTCATTGCCCTGTGGTTGCCCCCCACCAGGACCTGGAGGTCGGGATCCGGAAGAAGATCGAACACGACGTGGTAATGAAAGCCAGCAGCAGCCTGCCCAAGAAGCTGGCGCTGGTGAAGGTTCCCGCCAAGAAGGAGGCAGCCTCTTCCTCCTCCACCAAGACACCTTCCTAAGGACCCCAGCCCATTGGAGGCCATCGCCACAGCCTCTGTGCTCAGCCCTATGCAGGTGACCCCACTGTGAGAAGCCGTGCTCCCCACAGCCTCGGGTGACATGCACCTCAAATTGCATTGGGGGCCTAGCCCATGAGCAGGTGATCAGCAGATCTGGAGTGCACTGGTCAGCTTCCCAGGGTGCCAAGGACTCCAGAAGGGAAGGAATGTTCACCAGCTTCCTGCGTCCCCCTCCTCTGGTCTTGTCTCCCCTGATTTAACCCAGAGCAATAAACATGACTGTGATTCCTCCTGCGTTCCCATGCTCCTGTGAGTGGGGACCAGGTGTCCCAACTGGGTTAGTCCCAGCGGTTCCCACCAGAGACCAGCCGTGTGCCCACGGAGGGACAAATGGGCTTCTGCACCTTCAGCCCGGGAGCTGGAGGCAAGTCTTCGCCCCTCCCGCCCTGGGTGACTCCCACCAACCCCCTCACTTGCCTGCGTGCCCAGGTCACCACCTCTGCCAGAGACAAGCCAGGCATCTTAGGGAACGACTCTCCCACCCATAGGACAGATGCTGACACCGCCTGGTGGGGTCTCAGTGCTAGTTCTCAGCACTTGTGAACTGCTCAGGGCCACCTTGATCTTGAAAGCCCTAACAGCTTGTATTTATGTAGTACCACCAGTGGTCCAGGCACCATTCTAGCGCTTCCCTTGCAATGGCCCAGTTAGGCCATGTCAACGTTACCGAGCAGGGATTTGCACAGCCACTTGCAGGGTCCCCACTCCCCACTGACCAGCTGCTGTCTCCTCCAGACTGAGACCCTCTCCTTCTGCCTCTTGGAGCCCTCCGTCATTCCCGGTTGGCAGTCGTGCCTGTGAATCAGCCAAGAATCTGACAGCCTTCCTGCCCTCCCCCTGCTGGGGTGTGGGGAGCGGGTCACGGCCCAGGAACAAGGCTGCAGTCGGGGTGACACTGAGCTGCTGCCTTGGGGGAGGTGGCGGCACCTGTGGGTACAGGCAGCCACACCTGTGAGTGACTGGCTCCCAGCCAGCGAACCCACCGCAGTCGGCTTTTCTGGGTCCCACACAGTGGTCAAAAATTTCTGAACTAAAATTTTTCTACAAGATAGGGGACAACCACTGTGGAAAACAGTTCAGTGGCTCCTCAGTAAGTTTAGCCTAGAATTACCGCCTGACCCAGCCATTCCACTCCGAGCCACATGCCCAGAAGGACTGAAAACAGGGACTCGACTCGACAACAGCTTGTACGTGACGTTCACGTCACCTAAAGATAGCAGCAACCCAGGTGGCCGTCAACAGACAGTGGGGAGCATGTATGTCTGTACGAGGAGTGTGCTTCCGCCGTAAAAAGGTATGAAGCGCCCACATGCCACGACATAGATGCACTTCGAAAACATGCTGAGTGAAAGAAGTCGGCCGCAAAAGGCCATGTGCTGTAGGATTCCATTGATGTGAAATGTCCAGAAAGGGCAAATCCACAAGAGAACAGACCTTGATACGGGGGTCCATGGTTGAGCGGGGGAGGGGGAGTTGCTAATGGATGCTGGGGTCATCTTTTGGAGTAAGAGTTTTGGAACTAGACAGACGTAATGGTTGCAAAACAGTGAAATGCCACTGAACTGTACGCTTTTTTTTTTTTTAAGATGTATTTTAGTACAGGGGGGTGGGGCAGGGGGAGAGAGAATCCCAAGCAGACCCCCACCAAGCTTGGAGCCCCACTTGGGGCTCGAGCCCATGACCCTGAGATCATGACCTAAGCTGAAATCAGAAGTCAGCCGCTCAACCGACTGAGCCACCCAGGTGCCCCTGAACTGTATGTTTTTAAATGATGGATTTTATATGTGAGCAATTTCACACCAAAAAAAATCCTAATTTATATCTTGAAAAATCAGAACTTGTGGCAGCAGAACCCAAATTCAATGGAAAGACTGGCTTGGGGTTTCCCCAGGCCCGATGCTGGGGTTTCAGCGGGGGCAGGGGTGGGGGAAGAGGGGCTGGAGGACTGGAGGGCAGGGCTGCGTTCAGGGGTGTGACACGCGCACGCGCCCTTCCTTGAGCCCCACTGGGGCAACCCCGACGCCCGTGCCATCTGCCCACAGCATAGCAATGTCTCCCCTAAGCAGGCAGCGAGGGGCTTCCGCTTTTTGAGATGGAGCCCCTCTGCCCACTGGGCATTTACTGTATGCCTGCCCCGTGCCAACCTCAGCTCAGGAGAGCTGAGAACTGGCATTGTAGTGGGGAAAACAGAAAACCAGGAAAACCCGCCAAGGCTGCCCCCTCCAAACCCCCACCTCCTCTCTGTCCTGCCTCCTGCTGTGGTTCCCTCCCCCTCCCGGATGTCACCTCCGAGAGCCCTCTGCCCTCCCGAACCTCCAGCCCCAGGAGCGGTCACTCGGCACTCGCTCTAGACTGGTCTCCTTTGCGTCTTTGTTCACTGCTGTGTCTCCAAAACCTAGGCCAGTGCGCAGGAGGCGCTTAATGAACAGGTGTTCATTGAATGAAGGAAGTAATGAATTGTTTCCCTTTTTTGCAAGGAAAATCTTGCATTTCAGTGAATCAGTTCTGATTATTCAGGGCATCATCTCTATACAACACGCCCTTCCGGGTTATCTGATTCATAGCATTGTCTTCGACCTCAGCTCTGTAAATTGTAAGCAACTGATAGCAATATAAACCACTTATCTGTAGACATGCAAATTCCATCCCGGCCAGCAGGGGTTTCGCTGACAGTCCTCCTTCCCTATGGAAAAAAACAATTTGCCCCCATCTGCACGTTTATTTGCACAAATAGTCTGATAATGTAAAAGTGCCTGTTCTCCAGATTCTCTTTTGAGCCGCGTATGACATCTGCCTGGTTCCCACATGAGTTCAATAAAAACGTGAACACGTGTCCATCTTTACGTGTCTACGGGAATCATGATTTCTCCCTCTTCTGGAAATTATTTGTTAACCTTTTTCTGGAATCTCGGAAGAGCGGGGACTGGGACAGGGTACCTGGAAGCCAGGCCAACCCTACTGGGTCCCGCGGCGCCCAGGCGGGCCAGGGACTCCTGTAAACTGGCTCCTTTGTCCCTCTGACACCAGCCCTTTGGAGGAGGACCCCAGGGGCGAGGAAAGGCATTCAGGCGCAACAGGTATGAGGTCTGGAATGTCAACCCACTTGTTCCCCCTCGGCCCCACCCCCTCGGCCTCCCCAAATAGCCTCACGGCCCGCATGACTTTTCCCTCTGCTTGTTCCTTCCAGCTGCCCACAAAAGCCCACCAATGGTGCGGAAGCCAAGAGCCCCAGACTTTGGAAAATAACTATACCTTGAGTTCAGTGCCAGTTTCTGCCACTTCCTGGCTGTGTGATCTTCAGCAAGTCCTGTCCCCTCTCTGAGCCTCTGTTTGCCCATCTGTTAAATGGGGATCCTAACACCCCTCGCTCAGTGTGGAGAATTCTGGAGCCTGAGGGCTGTGAGGGCTGTAAGGGCTGCTTTTGTCCGAAGAGTGGAGCCCAAGACTAGCCACTCAGCCTGTCCTGTCTTGCCTGTCACACTGGCCCTCTCTGCACGGCCAGGGCAGCCACTAAATACGGCTTTTGAGACACGGTTATTCCTTCCCAAGCCTTTCCTCTTCTGCTTCCACCATCCCCCTCCGCCTGAATGCCCACTTCTCCCGGCAGGGCCCTGACGCTCAGCCCATGAACCTGTGTTCCAAAAGGGAAAAAAAGAAATGAAAGAAGTAAATCTTGCCAGTTGGGCAGGCCAGAGGGGCTGCATCAGAACCAGGAAGCGAAACTGCCCGGGCTGGTTTCCCGCCTGAGTCAGCAAGGGCAGGGGTTGTGGGGGGGGAGGGGGCTGGGGGGGGGGGCGCAGCTGGCAGAGGACAGGGACCCTGGAAATGGGTGGGGTGGCCACAGAGCTGGGGGCCCCTGTTCCCCTCCAACTGAGGCTCCAGGGCCACCCTATTTCCCATGGGTCTCAAAGACATGTGGGTTTGGGATCAGGAGCTGTGGATGCCTAGACAGTGAGCTCACAGAGGCCTGGCGGGGTAAGTGCGGCTTCCATCTCCCTGCAGCCCAAGCTCACTGGCTGCATGGAGAAGGCAGGACATGTGGATGGCTGAAACTCTGCTCCCAACCTCTCCCAGGAGGAGAGCTGGCCGAGAGAGACTCCCGGGGCCTTTCTGACCTCATAGATTCCCCAGAGATCACTGTATGGCCTTGGGCAACTTCCTGACCTTCTTGGGGCCTCATTCCCCTCATTCGTAAAATCAGGAAAATGGAATAGAATGTTGGTGCTTCCCAAACACTGTGCATTTGATTCCCAGCCAATGCGACAGACCCAGCCCACCCACAGGGCTTGAATGCTGGCCCTATCCTAACCCTGCTGGGGGCCTGGAGCATGTCACCTGACATTTCTGTGCCTGTTTTTTCACCCAGGAGCTGGGGATGATGACCGTGTTAGCATCTATTGTTAGACAATAAACATCCTCACTCTGTAATAGCCCAGTCTCAGTTCCTCCTCCAGTAGTCAACCGACTAGAGCAGCCTTGAGTGACTTCAACATCTCGGGACACCCACTGAAGCATCCTCGGGGACCGGGACCCGGGCTTAGCTGACACAGCCACACACCAGATGCTGAAGAGGACTGCTGGTAAGGGCACCCCCGCGGTCCTGTTTGCGAGGGGAGCAGTTGACACGCGGGCTTTGCTGAAGTCCTCCCTGCCTCTCCCCACACGCCAGTGACTCCTTCCCCATCCGTCCGTCTTTGCCTCCAATCCTTTGCAAGAAAGGCACGTGGCGTAAGTCTAGGGCTTCCCAGTCTGGGTGACTTCAGGCAAGCACTTTGCTCTCCAAGCCTCAGTTTCCTCATCTGAGAAATGGAGCCTGCGATCCCCACTTTGCAGCACTGGTGGAAGGCTTAAGCGTGATAAATGCGTGGGAGCAGTGAGTACGCCATTGCCATTATCCGTGTCCTTTCTGTCGTCACTGTGGCAGGCTGTCTCAACACCGCCGTTGTCCAACAGAAGTTACAATGCAAGTCACGTATATAACTTTAAACATCCTGATAACCACATAAAATATAAAACATAAAAGGAAACAGGTGGAATTAATTAGAATAATGTGTTTTATTTACCCAAACTTACCTAAAATACTATCATTTCGACATGTAATCAAGATAAAAAATTTTTTTCAATATCAAAAATTCTTAATGAGCTATTTTACCTTTTTTTCCCCTCAGCTAAGTCCTTGAAAATTACATTTACAGCATAACCCAATTCCGCCCAGCCCCATTTCAAGGACACAA